TTCCTAGCACAAGATTCGTTTGCTGGGCACGGAGTGTGCAGCGCAGCTCTAGCCCTCGCAATTTAGGGTTTAGGGTTTCTCAAAACCAGGGGTACCCTTTTAGTGGTCTCCATAAGAAGGATTACAGTACATTTTATGGTTTATATTGGGGTTTCCATTTTGGGGAACTACCACATCCCGTTTAGGGTTTAGGGCCCAGGGATGAGTGCAAGTTGTGGAGGTTGCAGCCTGGAAGCACGTCAGAGAGTCCTCCTTCAAAAAGGGCTTAGGGGTGAAATGTCAAACCCTAAACCCTAAACCCTTAAACCTCTATAATAGCTTCCATTTTCTTTTCCATTATCCCTGTATAACTCCCTATATTATAACCCCCTATATTATCACCATATAAGCTGTAGTCTAAACTCCTTAAAGGAGGGTTATATAGGGGGATTATATAGGGGACTACTATAGGGGATATTAAGGGGGATACTAGGAGTGTAGACTATAGCTCATATGGCGCGGTCAGACTGCACAGCTTCGGCCGACCCAGCAGTTGAAAAGACTGCACCTTAGGCCTGAGGAGTGAGGCTTAGGGTTTAGGGGTTTAGGGGTTTAGGGTTTAGGGGTTAGGGTTTAGGGTTTAGGGTTTAGGGTTTAGGCTTCAGGGTTTAGGCGTTAGGGTTCAGGGTTTTTAGGCTTCAGGCCCCGAAGGAGCCTTTCATTCTCAAAAGCTTAAGCCATAGCTACATGCGGCGCAGCATCATCTGGTGAGGTTTTAGGCAGTTCTATTGTTCCTTCCTGGACAAGGCCAGTTCGAGTAACTTCGTGTTCAGATGCGTCGCCAGACGGCCCTCATGTCTTCGCCACCTGTTATTTCACTGGTGGTTGGCAGGGAATAAGGGAATCTAATGCGTATATCATCCTTGTTCCCTGCTAACCCCAGTAAGTTATGCGGCAGATCTTCCGCCCCCGCACAGAGCGGTGCTTTGAACTCTTCCAGCTGCAACTTTCACACTAAACTGCATTGCTTTTCAGGAACTTAAACTAGGGAACTATAGTAAGGAAACCCTGTTATTCACTCTGTTCCCAAGATATGGCAACTTAATTCAAGACCCTTAGCCGTAACCCAGAACAAGCAAGATTCCATTCCTTCGTGTGGAGACATAAGCCTCCTGGCTCAACCTTGGCTTGCACCGTCAACTCCTACAGATGTTTCGTGTGTTTTGACATTGCACTGTCCATTTCATTTTCCATTTTCTTTTCCATTTGGTTCTCCATTATAGTAGGTACCCCNNTAATTTTGGGAACCACCCATATGGCAATGTTATGCGCAACAATGTAGGCATGTCTGCTGCTTATGCCCTTTGTCTCCTCTTCATCTTGATGTAACATGTTGAGATTGTTGCAGTCGGGGAACGACGTGCGGACACCGTTTCCGTGCCATGTACACGGTTTTCAAGAGGAGGGTTGTGCAAAGGCGTGGCCTCCTCAGAAGTCCTTGCGCTTGTTACATGTCTTTGGAACCAGTTTCCTACCAGATGCATCCTTAGTTGAGGTATTGCTTCTGTTTTTTTAAAGTGGTGAGGGCTTCGGAAGTGAGCGTGGCTCAAGCCGTAGGAAAACTAGCATTTGAATTTGTAAAGTTGTAAAGCCTGAAAGGTGCTTGGTGCCGTCCAGTCAGCAATCCAGAGACCCATGCTAATCACAGTGCAGAGGACACTGCTCAGTAATCAGAGCCGCTATGCATTTATCATCTTTGCGTGGCAGCGGCACTAGGACCATCAGCGAATTGCACAGTAGGAGGTGTTCCTGGGCTCGTCTGCCCGTTGTGCCAGTTCTATACAGCGTGTAGAAAGGTTCAGCACATATTCCACCAGAGTGAAGTGGATATGGAAAACAAGGTTCGAAGATGCCATGTGCTGAAAGGTTGCGCGAGAGGGAAAGAAAGACAGAAGATATTACCCTGCCTGCCAGATGTAGAGATGCGCATCTTGCACTGGTGGCAAGATAGGTCATGGCACACGGACTCTGGCATTGCAAGATGAAGCCAGTAAGTACAAGCAGCTGTTCCACTTGATGGTGCAAGGGAGACTGCAAGGGACAGCGTGAGTGGGATTCAGGGCGAAGGACAAGCAGTACTGAGGTTCGATTTCTATTGGAGGGTTCATCTTAGGATAATAGATGCCTCTATGCGCCTCTTCTTCAGATGAGCCACTGTCTAAACTC